ATTTGAATCGGCCGTCCTGAGCAATTATGATTTTGCAGATGTCACGTTGTTCTACGCAGGGTGTGATTTATACGCATTGCAACCGGTGCAAGCTCATGTTAAAGAAAAGTGGACCATGAATTGCATTGCAGACTTCCGACGTTATTCTATACATTTAGAGAAATTATAGAACGTTATTCCCAAAGAGCTGAAAATAACATCCCCTAGTTGCAAAAGCAGTAAACTCTACGAACCGAATCTTAACGTGACCGTTAACCGAAAAATCAAAAAAAAAAAAACGCCTTGAATCGGCCGTCCTGAGCAATTATGATTTTTGCAGATGTCACGTTGTTCTACGCAGGCTTTGTGATTTATACGCATTGCAACCGGTGCAAGCTCATGTTAAAGAAAAGTGGACCATGAATTGCATTGCAGACTTCCGACGTTATTCTATACATTTAGAGAAATTATAGAACGTTATTCCCAAAGAGCTGAAAATAACATTTACACACGCCTTACAAATTTTAAAGTTTAATCTTAAGTGCAGAGATTAGTACTATAAATAATTTAAAATATCTTATATTATACAAATATGAGGCGTAAGTATGGTGTCTATGAAATTTGTTCCTGTAATAAGTATCCACCATCAGTGACAAAGAACGGAAATTTACAAAATATAGTTGTTTTCTTGTATAATAAATTTAAGAACATTTTGACAACATTTTGACCTTATCAAAAAGGATGTCCCAGAAATGGATGCGATATTTACCGTTTTCTATATCCAGTAACAATTCTTAACCTCTAAAGGAAACAACGCGTTTAAGTGTCTACTTCACTTACTTTGTTTGGGCTTTCAATATGAATGTAATATACATAGTATTATACTTTAGTTATTAGTCATAATTAGTTTCAACAACATTAAAAATACGGTGAAAGAAACTATGAACATTAAGGATATTACCTAAGTTTAATTAATGTCAAATAGATCGTCGATGGTGTCGGAAGCGAGTAAATGAAGTATTTATTATAACGACTGCCATGTGCTACGTAATTTATGTCTGATGTCATGAGATCATGTCTATTTCCTAACAAAATTCAAGATTCTCAACCTCGATTGCGACCCGGCAAACCTTGGAGAACATTAAAATTCCAAAGAGTTCGCGCTAGCAGCAGTTCTCTAGAATAGATAAATATTTCGTATTACGTAACATGCCAGATCGCTCGAGCACTCGGCTAATGCCAGCAATTCTAGGTTATACAAATGTACACTACGTTTTCATGTATAAAGCATTACTACTTTGAAAACGCTGTATTGATATTCAAACACGTTTAAAGGCGACGCTGGTAATAATAGGACCGCTACATATTTTATATATTTAGGGTTATGGATCTATGTAATATATAATCATTGCATTTAATAATTAAAAATAAAAGGAGGCTATTTAAACAAAGCTTTTAGCTATTTATCAAAATTTAATAGACATCAGCTGATTAAAATTTAAATGAAATTTAATATGATATATATTAACAATCAAATATATTTATTTGATTTTAATAAAGACGTCAATCCTGACGAAGATATCCATGTTGTTGCACGTTTAACGTCCGATCATCTTTTTAACTATTTAACTAGAGTTTTACGTCGGCTACCTTGGGCTACTAGGTAAGCGGAACAAAGTATAACGGTGAAAAAAAACTTAATTTTAAAAAAAAAGCGTGTGTAGACGTACTTGTGTACGCACGTAAGAAGTTATACTTCCTTAACTTTACACAAGGAAAAATAAATAAAAATCTTATCTCTGTGTGAAAAAAAGACATCAAACGTTTTTAGCGGTATAATAAGATAACTAGGAATTATAGGTAAATGTCAAAAAGTTGTTATCGTTCTCCATGGTAACGTCATAAATCGGTGACGTTTTTAGGTGTAGCAAATCGACATAATTCTCACTCAATTTTTCCAAAACATGTCAAAAGAAGTATATCTTTAAAAAAAAAAGTAAGAAATAACACGCAATAATACAGATTTTGACAAATATACTATCTACATACAAAAAGTTCTATTGGACTAGATACTTGAGCTAAGTAATACCAAACTTCCTCTGTAAAACCTATGTCCCGATACCTAAAAGTACACTTTTATTAAGACCAATAGACACTTTACGGGTCGGAAATGAAATCGACAGTTACTTACAGACACAATTACCTCAATAAAATCGTACGAGGGTTTATTTTTGGCGCATTCGAATCGGAAATGGCTCTAATAACTTTTGGGGCGCTTTCCCCCGCGCTTTCTTACTTTTATTGGGCTTAAACGAAGGTTGTTTTGAATATGACACAACTCTTTTGTACTTTTCTTTATCGTTTCTTATTCAAATCAACGTTCTATCTAGCTTTGTCTTTACCATTTTTGAATGACGCAGATGTGAAACGCTGCATCGGACCCAGCATTATGTTTAGGGTTACACCAAAACAATGCAATCTGCTACCGCTTCTTCATTAAACAATATACAATATATTACAAGTCCATAGAAGGTCGGTCTCAAATATGTTATTGGTGTTTACACGTAAGAAATTAAAACTTGTCCACCGACAGTCGAGATAATTTTAAAAGATAAACATAAGCACAGTAAGTACATTTAAACACCATAACAATAATACAAATTAAAACTATAAATAATGAAATAGTACAATAAGAAATAAAAAATATGGCTTAAAATAAATAGTTACAAATTAAATTATGGTTCGCTCAGATACATAAGGTATAGATACGCAAAATACAAAAATTCTTCTTTAAGTAACGGTAATAATTTGTTTAATGACTACGGAATATTATTTACCATCATTTAAATTAGTATTAAAGACTTGTTTGCTGCAGTTATTGAACAAAACACTATTGTATTGCCAATTAATCTGAATGGATATATGAAGGCAGCTGCGCAAGTGGAGTATAACTTTAATGCACTAACAATAGCGCCGAGCGAAAATTGTCTTAAACATTGTCCGCTTTGCGTGGGTGCAGGCAATAACTGCAAAACAAATGATCGTGTATCTAAATGCAATAGTCCCGGTTGCTGCAACAATCGTGTATTGCGTAATTTTGATTTATTTTGTATTTGACATCTGCGACTCATGAATCTGTAAACAATAACATGAAGGAATCTGTTTTACGGATTAACTTTTCACTATAAAGTTACTAGTAAATTACTATAAAAAGTGGGATGGTATAAACTGTTCTTTTTAACATATATTTGTAACAACTGGCGACAAAAAAGAATGCGGAATGAATATGATTTGAGTATGACATAAAACTCGCGTGCTACGTAAGCTTTTTATTGTTATTTGGGAAGTGTTTAATAATAAAGACACTAGATCGTAAGTGACTGTGGACGATGGATGAAAAAACAGTACATGTATTGAAATAATTTTTTTATATTTTTTGTTTTTAACCCAAAAGTCAAGCTGACTTGCAGTATATCGGAACTAAGCTCGGATCAGGTAAAAAGGGCTCGGTAAAAAGAAATTGGCGAATTTATAGTCAAAAATATGCCATAAAACATCATCATTTAATGAAAGTCTACTTAGGCCTGGTTGAAGAAACCTAAGCTCGGCTCAGTTAATAACAATAATAGCAAACATAGCTAAGAACCGAAGAGTCCGAGGTAAATAAGTAATAACGATCTTAAAAAAATCTACTTCCGCTAATTTTTCGCGCACTATAATAGATTACACTGTTATAGTGTTGAATATTGGATTATTGAATTGATTATGCAATATTGGATTGAAAATAACGGTGGTTCACCAGGAAGGTGGACTTTATAAAAGTCATCTCACTTGGGTCTTCATATTGGGTTTCGTGGAGACCCCGTAATCGCCGAAATAAGTCGGGGAGTCTATAGCAGAATTAGTTTTCTAGAGATAGTAATTGCATCACACTGTGCGCAATACTCGTAGTATTAAGGGCAGAGTACGCCTGCGGTGCTGCACGCTCCAAGTCGGGCGAAACCCCACTTGGCCGCTCTCTTATTGAATTTAATTTGCCGGACCACACTCGAGTTATTATCGTGTCCATCATTGCGACCAGTTAATGACTGTATCGCCATCAAAGTAAATACGTTTCTTAGCGGGAATTATTTACGACGGGCAGTTGACTTTATCAAGCTTATAATATATGTTCAGCTGGCTCGAATACATAAATAAAAATGGTGTATTAGAATGTTACAAATATAGCTACGCTATATAATACATTGTAAAATGCAAGACGACAGGGTATGGTAACAAACTATGGAGAGCTTAAAGATATGAAAATAATTATATTATGAAAGTCTATAATTTTCTAAATTAAAGTTGTAATAATAAGATTTTTAGTAACAAAAAACAAGACCGACTTCAATTACCTCACGCACTATACATAATATCCTATTCGACTTTGAGGAGTTCCATGGTGTCCTTGAAATCCAAGGTCCAATACCAATTAATTTAAAGTAGTAATATAAGAGCAGTTTTTATTTCCAAGAAATAAAAATTAATCAAATTTTAAATTAGATGTGATAAACTAAATGTTAATTATTTTTCCTTCCGAAATCTATGCTACGAAAATTCAAACGAAAAATGTAATTATACGTTTATTTGTTGGAATTATTAATTAAACTAAAACTTTTTTAAATATTTTACAAGGTTAATAATGGTTATACGCAAAATTATATAATCATATTTATATTGGTTGTAAATTAAATAATCATGAAATGAAAATATACATGACATAGACATGACACAGACATGAAAATAAGAAAATTTTGAAATGAAACATTTAAAACACTAGATAAATTTATTTATAAGGTGACTATTTTAATATTCTATACTTAAACACATAGCGGACGTGAAAATTGCACAAAAGAGTAATAACACTATGATAATACATAAATGGAACAGGCACGACTTAATTAAAATACGTATGGGGAGAGTTAATTAAAATACGTATGCAACATATATGTATGATAAACAGTCAATGCGATTATACTTACGGTGATGGTGTCATAGATGCCATTCGCGTCGCTTCGTAGGGGCGTGGTCGGAGTGGCCGCGGGTGCGCCGATTGCCGCAGGAGTCCGTGCCTGCGGAGGCGACAGCGGGAGCGGATCTCCGTTGCGTATCCATGTTTTATGGATTTGCCAACTCGTATCCGAAAACCGCGCTTTGTCCTGTCAAAATGATTCTATATAAGATTTTTCGACAAATTGACATATGGAATTGGTAATTATTTCGCCAATAAGGCATTTTGTAATATTTTTATGATTAATTTGACAAGATGAAACATAAATTTTTATAGGTCAAAAATCTTCGGCGCTGCGGAATCCGAACTTGCATTTTCTGGTTAATGCTGGCTGTTTAGCTTTTAGGTTACAGTCGGGCGTACCCTTAAGACGTCGTTTCAAATCCCGCAGCAACGAAGATTTACTACAATGTATCTACAAAAATTAAGTTATTTTTTATCTCTAACTAACACATATTTAAAATAGAACAGTAGTCTTTTTATAGCGTAGATACCAACCCTAAAAAACCTACCAATCCGTGATTAAAATGAATTGTGTACCTAAAGTACTAAAATAAATTAAGATAATATTGGTTAATATAAAAAAAAAAATATTAAATTAACTGTTTTCGTAAGTTGCAACGTACACTTGACCGAGTCAAATCGGATTACTGTTATACTAGTACCCATGTAATTAGGCACGCTAATAGCGGCTATGCGCAGTCTCGGGTGATTCGAGCCTCGCGGCAAACAAAGCTTTCAAGTCCGGCTTTTAATCACAACGAACAATATTCACGTTCCGAGCTCGACACTTTAACTTTCGACACGCAACGTCACCTTCCGCACGACTGGAAAACATCGCTAGAGTTCTACCTAATGATTGCTCGTCGAAGATCGATCAAAGTTGTTTTGTACCCGCGTCACGTCAGGAACTCGTCGATGGACTTCTTTGTAATATAAACAGCACAGGAAATTGGATGTAGCCAATCTAAAACGGCTTTAGACATATCGACTACGTAACCTAATGACATAGTTGTCGTTGGACCTTCGGCTTGACACTAAATCCGCAATAAGAGCGTCGTCGATCACTTTAGGACTTCAGGCTATTTTCTTTTTAGGTGACCCAGTTGGCACGGTGCCAGATTGCAGATAGGTGCTCCGGATAGCTTACTTAAGTTATATGATCCTTATCTTGTTTGCATAGTTAAGATGGTTCTAGAATCTATTTATTATAAGAGGCAACATTCCTTTTATTTTTTTCTTTTTTAAAATCATTGCCTGTACTTTAGGATAACATTATCTTTTGTTGTAAGGACGTTTTACAAACATAAATATCACGCGGACATACACCCAAGTGCGAAACGACTATCTGTGAGTCACACAAATAGTTCTCCCGTGTGGGGATTGGACCCACGACTACCTACACCGAAGCCAATACCTTGGCAACTGCACACCGGAGTCATCAAGATTGCAGATTTCATGTTTATCTTATGTTATATGAAAGTTTCACAAGAGCAACAATTTAACATGGAAAAACCAGATCCGGAATTATCTTATGATGACTCCGAAATATGTGTAAATGAAAAACATATGTTTAAAAGACAATAATAAATCGCCCTCAAGTTACGCCCTACCACACTAATTGCAACAAAAAGGCTCTGCAATTACTGATATAATTTTGCTTACGAACATTTTATTTGAGGACGTAGTTCAGCGTCCAAACCTCATTAGTTTCTTGAATACTTGAGGTAAATGTGAAATTTTGTTTCTTGTTTTATCTTAAAGCCGTTTATTGACTTCTACGTATTTAAAAACATCAAATAAATAAATAATGTAATGCATTCTTTAATGATTATTAAAAAAATTAAAAAGAATAACTTTCAAAGATTATTAAGTTTATAAAAAAGTTTACTGACACTTCGCGTATACTTTTTTCAATAAAGCTGGGGTGAAACTGATCATATTAACATTTTTTGGTAATTACACAGAGCTTTCGATTTTATTAACAATGTGCTTTTTTATAATACCGATTTGCAGATAGAGATTGAATTCCTTAGTGAGTTGTTGAATGAACTATCTTATGCGTTGGTACACGCATCACACTTCAAAGCTAAGCACACAGACGTCTCTATCTTTCTCGCCGTTACGTATTTCTTCTGGCTTCCATATCTGTTACAAGATATGTTGATTGATACCGCTAATATCAACAATCACTTCATACACAACGTTTGCCTTTGTAGTTCGTTACAAATTATCTTTTCCCAAAATGATTACCTGGGAGCGAGCGCAAAAAGAACATACCGTTGGGAATGTTTGTTTGAATACGTCCGGCTGCGGATTCCGTGTGGCGCTGCGGGCGCTCAAAGCCGCCCGGGTACGGTTTATTACAAAACGTCTGGTCCGCTTTATGTGAAAATAGCACGGGGGATTAGCCACCAGGTAGATAAGATAATAAACATCCCACGTGGCGTTGCGTCGTGAACGGACGTGATAGCGTTGCCGAACGGGGCACGCGTGGGCGCGGGCTCTCAACGTTTCGTTACTACTTTCAACACGCTGGCTACGTGTGCGCGTTAAGGAATTAACACTCGTATTATTAACAATGACCCGCGTGAACCGCTCCGCGGGGACCCGGCGAGATTAAATTATAATGTTACGTGGCAACAAAGAATGCGCCGTCGTACAATCACTTAATCAATAGTAAATGTTTGTGCCTCGATAGTGTGTACAAGTATTACGTTATGCCCGACAAAGTGAAATGAATTAAGAAACGTTTAACTCCAATTATGCAAGATGAATAAATACTATTGACACTGTCGGTAAAAACGCATTACATTGGAAATGAACAATATAGAAAGTAATAAATTGGCTGAAATAACATTTTTAAATAGAAAGAATTATTACATTTTTATAATTTAGTTAAGTAATTGAATAATTCTACAGTAGTTTCAATGTTGACATCTTTGTTACAATTAACGGATATTTGTGTAAAATAAATTATTTATTATTTCCTAATACTTTTCGTCACTTCCTTGTAAGGAAGCGTTATAGGCAAATGTTTTATACAATATTTATTTGAATACGCGGTGTTGGAATGCAATTATGTTTGCTTGCTTTCTGTCGCGGAGAAATCGTAAGTCTCGGCGAGAACAAGAATTCTAATTACTTACCAGTTACTGCTGTTGTATGTAAACTTCGAAATATAGAATCGCTTGTGCCGCTCAATGACATCAAAGGGAAGCTGTGTGACTTTTGCAACCGCATCTCAGATGGTTTTGCCCACGCATTTTTGCACGATATTAGCAAAATTCATCAAGCTATAGCATATAAAATAAAGTTTATTGACATTGCACATATGGCAGAATTAATTACTGCTACATATATTTATAGTTATTTCAAATTAAATAAAAATATTTTTCGTATAAAATGGGTGCAGAATTATTTGAAGAACCATAGTATGCCCATGAGTTTATATCCATTTTGACAAACATTACCCTAGTAAAATGTATACATTTTACCAAAACTTGTGTCCGACAATTGGCAAAACATTTGCACATTCGCTTATTTACAAACGTCAAAATTGTATTAATTATAATGGTATTTTTTATATTAAAAGATTTATACACACAACAAATATACGAAAATTTGTGTTCTTAAAAACCTTCATTAACTCTACATAATTAAGTTTTAAATTTTATTCCTCTCATTTTTTAGTGCTGGTAAATAAGCACGCTGTTCATAAAGGCACGCAATTACAACTCATGAATCTTCGCAACATAAAAGGCTTTGCAAAAGCCTGCTAGTCTAGTAGATTTGTTTCTTAATGAAGCTATTAATGAAGTATTAAGGGACTTTACTTTTAATTTTTTTTTATGTGAGGCAAACGTGTGGCAAATGAGCTGGCGGTTCACTTGATGTTAAGTGATAACCGCCGCCCATGGACATTTGCAACACCTGTAGGGTTGCAAATGCGTCGCCACTTTTAAATAAAGTGGGCCCCGGCTACTTCACTCACCAGACGAAACGCAGAAGTGTAACATTTCTACTTTACACGGGTCTTCGCCAGGTCGTGGTACTTACCCGGACGTACCGTGCAACATTAAACACTATTGCGTGGCACTACCACAGTTATAATACCACAGTTTAAATCATATTTATGTTTAAGGGCCAAGGACTGGGGCCAAAACGTATTAGCATCGAGATCATCGTCAGCGATAGCTGGCATTCCGAGCTCCCTCGGTTAAAGATTCTTGTCGCTCTTCGTAACACATTCTAATGGACTCCATTAATGGACTTTCACACCTTATTTAACGTTCAGATAAACAACTTACGAACCGATAATGACCAACAATGCATCGTCAATTTAGCCGTTGACAGTCGCGAGGCGGTTTGCGAAAGCTTTTCAAACGCCTTTCGAATTAAATTTACATAAAGAAGAACATTGAATTTCGGCTGTTTTCGGGCACTTTCTATTGGCTTTTAGTTTTAGTCCTGTCCCGAAATATGCACTGACATTATAGCAACGTTATATGTTGCGCCTTCGATTTTGAAATTCATTGCTTATGGATATAAGTAAATTATAAAATCGATATATTATATCAATTCTGAGGTAATAATTTGGCATTTAAATTAAAAGAACGGAAGTAGATTCGTTAAATAAATTGCTGATTAATAATTTCCTACATTTACGAACACTATATAAAATAGAACACTAGATAAATCAGCTCTTACAATTGCAATAAAAAATTTCACTGGTGTTGGCACTGGAATTTGTACTCAGATTGCTGCATTTTATAGAATTAACATGACTGGATTTGACAATGTAACGAATACATATTAACAATTATTTTATACACGTTAAAACGCCACTAGCATTGCATAGAAGCCTTATTGCTACAGTAATCACACATTACCATATCACGACTGAATAAAAATGATGGTATTTGTGTTACAAATATGTGGCGGAAATTAAAACTGCTATAAGGTTTCTTTTCCTTTTTTCTGAACCATCATCAAACCTTTTCTTGACACTCAAATGTACCATCAATTTGGAATTCCAAAACCTCGAAAATTTTCGACCAAAATATTTTATTACAACAGGCTTAATTAAGTACCTAGTTAATTTTTATCATGTATGAGAAATAACAAGGCCATCGAGTTATCGCCCTATTAAAAGCTATTTATAACAAAGGACAACATACAATTGAGGTGCGCAAGTCTAAAGTAACAGACATTTGATACACATTCCCGGTGTATTCGGACCGTCCTTCACATTTACTATTCTTTACAATGATAGTCTGTTTCATTGTATATCGCGAGGTCAAGTTTGTGGCTCTTTGTTATTGCGGCTACTTACGATAAAATTATTATCGGCGTATAGGACCCTAAATTAGAAAATTTGTTGATGACTGGTAGAAATTGAGAGTGAGTTTTTACAATTAAGAATAAACATAAATAATTGAGTAAATAAAACATTTAGCTGTCAGATTACAAAATTCCACACAATGTTATCGATTTCAAAGAAACATCTGGAATATTTGGACAAAACCGGTCATATACAAACAAGTTCCGTAAGTACGGTAGGTGTATGAATGGGAATCATTTAATACGCCTGCTGACCACAATACTGCTCAGCTAAAAAGTATCTAAATATAATAAATAATAAAATTATGCAAATATAATACTGTCTATTGGAGACATAATAACCAGAGAACGCAAATAAAACATTGTTTTATTTGCATTTGTTTTATTTCTCGTTCCCTGATAATAACGAAGTTTACATTTCAAATAGATGTTTGCGTGAAATTTGATTTCGTCTGTTCATTTATGAAGGCGTTCGTTTCAGTGATGGATTTGGTTTTTATAATTCTATTAATTTTTTATTCGTTTTAGAACTTTATTACAGTTAACTCGGCCTATTTTACATTTTTTTATAAACGTTATTTTTACAAAGTTATAGTCGTAGGGATTTAATTAATTAGTACAACGGCCTACAGCTAGTAGGTAGCTGATAAACATAATTAATCCTCTTCTTTTGTTAATAAACATATATTAAAGATTCCTAAACAACCAGACACTGGAAAACACTACGTTCATTACACAGTACTTTTCCAGTAATGGTCGCTTGCCGTGGTAGAGCCACGCAACAGTCAGCATAGAAGTTGCACCACGACCTCACAAAAAAGAGGCGTGACATGAAAGTGTTATTCTTCTGCATTTAGTTTGGTGAGTGAGGTAGCCGGGCACACTTTATTATTAGGTGGCAATCCTAAGGGTGTTGCAAATGTCAACGGGCAGCGCACGGCGGCTCTCACTTAACATCAGGTGAACCAGCAGCTCGTTTGCCATCTTCTCAAATAAAAAAAGAACCCACACCGTCTCGCGTAAAGACAGATTAACTTTCCACAATGCCAAACGGTTGGGGACGGGATGAACATAATAGAGGCTAAATTACTAGTAACGTTAAATAAAGATCTAATGCCACGGGTTCGTATACTAGTAGCGTATACCAAAGAAACTTTTCACGAATCACATTTTGTACGTGCCACACTTTTTATTTATGCTCGGTAGAACAATAAAAATATTATGTATAATCTTCTGTCTACCCCGTTATTTTAAAATCGTAAACGGAGATTATTACATTGTCAAAAAACCACGCATAAAATTCGATTTTGTCTGAAGAACAATACAAAGACAAATGGTTTAAGAATCGGCGGAGCGTAAATTTTAATGTTCCGAAGTGAGGTCATGTCTCAGAACGACTAAACAGGAGTCTGGTTTTTGAAGCTTAAACAACATAGTAGAAATTTTATTACGCTCTGTGCTGTAGAGTAAGGCTCTCTACTTTGATCGCCTTAACTGGTAATCTATAAAGTCAACATCACGTATAGTCGGTTAGTAGTAGTAAAAGTTAGGTGTTCTGTGTTGCAATTACACTGGCGTTCTTAGAAATCATATGTAGTATAATACTAAATGTACATATATTCTTACTTTACAGGTCCGTACTTTGACGTCTCTAAACCTGGTTCCATTTCAAAGAAAAAAAAAAAAGAAATAAATGAATTAGGTAACCGACGCTCACTTTCCTTTGACTCAACTAATCAGTATAACGGCTTACGTATATGACTATATATTATAGTATTTACATAACTATAATATATATAGCGCGCACTAAATGTCACCTATAAAACTACTTAACAGTTTCATCACTATCAAAATTTTCTTCATCGTTCCTACATTAAGCGTTTTTGTTAATTAATAATTAACAAAGACGCTTATCATTCGTTAGGTCTTATACTGATCCTTCCAGAAGCTAATTTGCATGTGGCTAACTACGCACACAGCAGTAGGTATGCGCAACCTCCTTCACTGATAAGATAACCTTGAATTCCAACTTATTTGCTCTATTAGCATTAATTTTTTATCGTCAATATACGTTGTTCACGTTTGAGATGCCGGTTTTTCGATGACCTGATTACAGGATTATTGTTATATTAAACTCAATTTTATTATTTGCACTTTAACCAGGTACCTCGTGCTCAAAAGGATCGTCCGCGTTAGGAACCCGTTTCTGTTTGTCTCTGCTGAACGACAGCCTCCTCTTGAACAGCTTCATCACTATGGAGCGTCCGGAGACGACGCTGCGCAAATGTCACCTCTCGCTTCACACAAGGACGTCGCTCATTATACATTTATTGCCGGCGGCACACTCGAATACACGGGCTAAATTGTGATAGCGATAACACGCGGCGCGACGTTGCAACTATGTTCTCTTTGGCAGTGCAAAGGAAACGGTTTTAAGGTCGATAAGGCTGGAGCGTTTAATTGTTAAAATCGCGTCGCACACGAACACGATAATCGTGGAGTTATCGCCCGCACGTGCGTCAGTTTCGTGACGGTCGCCGGGATATTAGCGTGGTCGGAGGCGGCCTGAGTGCGGTGTGCGGTCGGATCGCGCGTCCGCCGAGCACTGGCGGCTGGCGGACGCCCATCGCGCCTCACCTTCACGCCATAACGCGCGGTCCCACCCGCCCCTAATGTTATTGCACATCAATCAAACCGTGACACCCATTACATCCCTCTGTATCCGACCGAGCGCCGACCGCAATGTTACGTCGCTCGGCGAGACGCTGCGCACACGAAATTATTGGTTACACCCCAGATAAAGGGTTCAAATGAGTTATCGCCGAAAGTTAATTACGGTCGTGGAATTCACTACAAGTAGTTGAATCTCACATACGTTGACCTGAACCTCTTCTAATAAGCAATGAATGAGTGAAAATAATGTCAAATTTAGAATATTGTATGTGAGGTATTCAATTACATGAATAGCCATTAAAGAGGGACATAACCGGCCAATGGAGTCAATGCAGCATCCGTTGTTACTATAAACATTGCTCTAAATTTGGAAGCCTAGGACCGCGCCACGTTTGACACATGTCAATTACATGGAACGCCCTAAGAATAACACGAATGTAATGAGATTCACAACGTGCGTTTGTTTATCAAGACATTTATGTCCGTGGGCGTTGATTCTAGCATAATAAACAATGCTGTAAATAAAGTATGAGAATATTCATCAACACACCCCTTGAACAACATCACTTACATAAAATCTGTTTGTATAAATGAACTATGACATTTTGCGACCATCACAAATGAACGCAATAAAGTATAATTGATTTCGAGACTGAAAATGCGGGCTGAGTCAGCTATTTGTTTCAATATGGGGCGATGATAAGAGTGCTTACGACATTTAATGAAAACTGACGTATAGTTAAACCTTTCATTTAAAATGACATATTAGGGTTTAATAACATTACTCTTAAGGAAAAACCGAACCGGCTTATAATATCTCACTTAAGAGAAAATGGACCTTGGAAATATCTCCTTTCCGACATAAAAGGGATTTTAAAAATCAGTTAATAAATTACCTGTTTATAAATTCACAGGTAACAAAAATAAATAATATACAACGGAAGTCGGTTAATAAGTATGGTAGTCTGATAATAAAAAGTAAATAAATAGTAATAAATTGTTCAATGACTTTTTACTTTAAACATACACGTATTCTACGAATTGGTCCTAATAAATATAACTAGGGTTTTATTGTACTTAATGTTTACACATTAAGCAGGAAATGTTATATAGGGATTGGTATGCAACGCACCGCTGTGTTAGTAAACCCGTCGATGTTTGTACTACGGTTAACACATTCTAGAATCCTTGCGGCCAGTTAGTTTCCCTGGCGTAAGTCACACTCCAGGATTTAGGGTATTATGATTGTTTACATTCTTCCTACGTTGTAGCTAACAAATGAATACGAGATATAGAGAGTAATTTTTTAACTATACTAAGAGACGTGGGAACTACTCATTGTAATGATCAAATCTTATTCATTCTTAAATAAGTAAATCGTATTTATTTATACTGTGTTCCGCGTGAAAACTATGTTTGTAAAACATATTTGAGAATCTTTACTTCTTTAACAACTTAATACAATCATTTAAAATGCCAGTAAAATAATTTGAATAAAGAAAACACTGAGCGAAGTAAAAAACCTTTCTTGAAATATCGTAACTTCTAATTATAGAATTAGAAGTTACGATATTTCAAGAAAATACTTCTGAAACTTACTACTTAGGACGTAAATGGCGAAAGACAATCAAATCTTACAACTTACACAATCCGCGGCGGGACCGCTAAAATACACCCAAACTAATATAGTGACTTGTGTGAAGCGCAAATATTAACTCGGGCTGGAATTTAAGTAAGCAAGCTTACTAAAGCAGGTCGGGCTATCAATGAATGCTTATTAACATACCCATAATGTAAAAGCTTCGTGCGACACGTACTCTAAGGTGTGTGCTGATATATGTTTCTTATATGATGCTACATTACGCGATGGAATGTTCGGGAAGGCCTTAAGAGATGTATTTCAATATGGCTCACAAGTTTTTAAGAATCTACGTGTAGAAATTACTTACGCTGTTTCGCAACTGGGCCTCGGTGTTGGCGGCTTCTGATAGCTCAATAGCACCCGACACCTGAAACAAACATTTCTCGTGATCCGTTAAGTGGGTTATCATCTCCTGAGCGAGCTTTCGATAATAATTGGAAGAGTTGCTTCATTGTTACGGACTTAGAACAGCTGGTTAAACTAATATATAGTCTTCATGTAATATATCATAACTAACCACAAGTTACCAGATAAAAACAATAGGAAAATAAATTTCAATGAAATCACAACGATGTGAGATATGAAATTGGTTCTGGTTTTATTTTGTAGCTACATTTATGCCAATATAATTATACTGAATAACACATCATCACATCACCAATCGCCTCGGCTCTGCAGTGCTTTAAGCGCTAGATCTATAAATCGAGTTCGGCCAAAGTGAAAAAATAAATACTTAACATAACCCCAGAGAAAATAATAGAGGGATGTCACATGATCCCGGCGGCTTCCGAGCGTTGCTCGGGCCAAAAAATCGGGTAATTTTTCGGACCATCGGGGATAACGGTGACACCTTCGTCATGTCGGAAGAAATAAGGTCCGATGATGTAGCCATAACATAAACCGCACCAAAAGTCAATTATTATAAGTGCACGCTTTTCGACGATGCAAGAAATTGCTTGAGCACTAGCAAATAGACAGGTGGATGTTATTGGTAACTTTGACATGTGTTGAAATTTAAATTTTTATATTACTTATTTATACACTTAAGGTGAAACATTAAAATTTGTAGAAAAATTAACGAAAAGTTTTTCACCGCAGGGGGAAATCAACCCACGTCTTTCAGATTCTCGCCCAGATGTCAGCTCACTAAGCTCGAAAATCTAGACGTATTTTATCTATACATTGTTTTTTGCATTTTAAGCAAATAAACTGCTGAAATATTACATATGGATATTAGATTACCCATATTAAATAACTGGTTGTAAATTGATGAGGAATTCTGTGAAAGTAAATAATTAAGTTCGCTTGTAATGTTATCAGCACGTAAGCGTTGCAACTCAATACTCAATTTACTCTCAGTACTCAATTTAACGGCTTATTTTACGATGTTTCGCCACTTAACTTAGGCCATATATGTAAGATCTGTGTCATTAATGCATTTAACAAAACCGTATTATACATGCTTTTTCAGTAGTATTAAACATGCACTTCTATCAACGGTTCAAGGTCAAGACATTCAAGGCTTTGTACCTTGAATGTCTGGAAAAGTTATACGAATCTACATTCGAGTTTATACTTAAATAATTTATTATAAAGGTTGTTAATAGATCTAGCGATGTTAAATGTATATTTTTAAAATGATAAAATCTGAAACAAAAACTAACTTCGCTTTATACAATTTTCGTTTTAAATGTATGCTAACATAATGATCTGTTTTCCAGAAGTGAACTTAAAAACCTTAACAATTCACAACACTATTTCTTTTTAAACACACACTTTATGAAACTCAACTTTATTACGTTGTATGCAACAACTTGTGTTTAAAATTGAGAGCAATAAATCCATCAACGAATAGGACAATCAAAATCAACGAAAAAAAATAACAAAGGAACGTGATATTTGTGGAAACTGAATTTCTTATAGCAGATTCAGTTCACATACAAATACAAACCGTGAACATAATAATATGTATGTATGTCGTGTATGTACGTAACTTACGACAGAGAAGTTACGATGGCCCGCTGTTCACATACTTTATTAAATCGCACTTACGCTGAATAAACAATGGCAAAATAATAAAAGCTAAAAATATATTAGGTATTACGTTCACAGAAGTTAATTAGAAAATGGGATAAAAAAAATAACCGTAACTGAAGAAGTTAAAAACTTAGAACAATATGTCATCTTCCTTTTTGCCTTTATTTTAACTTTATTGCTTGTACTTAGCCGAGCTGTTAGTTCTGTACGCGAGTACACAAAAGAAAAGGTGTAAGTTGAAAGAGGTTTTATGTGTTCATGTGTGTACCAAACGCTGCGTCCACCTTTGAACTAATCATAATATTACATTAAGCCAGTTAGTAATTTTAATTCGCTAAATAATCACTCTCGATATTTTTTACCATTTAAAAGAGAGAGAATATTTAAAAGAATTTTTCTCCTTTCCTTTCCATTAAAATAATTAATTATTATTATTAATTATTATAAATATATCTAAAGATATTCTCGTTTCATGTAACTTTTAACAGGTCAAAATATGATGTTCGAGTCACTGTACTACAACTAAAACATATATGTAAAAATACTATACACTCCTTATAAAACAAAAGTACAATATGTGCTAAATACAAAGTATTTCTATTTCAAATCTTAACAAGTACTATAAGCAACTAACCACCCTTTACAGTGTTTATAACGCACCCAAAATATTTGTCACTTATAATATCACTTAAAAAATAAAACATTAAGGGTCTGTTTCACAATGTCCAAATAAGGTCCCGAATAAGCTACTTGCCACTTATCTGACGAATAAAGTCATCGTTGGCGTTTCACAATCGTCTGTTAGTTAAGCGTATCTGGCAAATAAAGTTCGAAGTAAATTATAGGTTAGATCATCTGTCAGATAAGGAATTTATTTGATGGTTTGTTACTTGACAGATCATTTTCAAGAAGGAATTAGCTATACGTTTTTAATTGAAAAATATTAAAAATGTATTTATTAAATGCCTTGGAAGTCGAATTAGATGATTTTTGTTATCGTTTATCGAAGCCACGCAGAGATCCTGTGTTTCGACGTCGTTCTAAGCACATGGAGACATTTGATGATGAGGAATAGAGTTCGATTTCAATTTAATAAAGATACTGTTTATTATCTCCATTCACTTATTGAGGACAAAATTTCTTCTAGTACAGAAAGGTAATTATGTGTTTTATTTTTTATAAATAACGTATGTAGTGAAATGTCCATCTACTTAATATCCATGTTGTTTCTAATAGGTTCTTGAATAATCATTGTTTCAGGAATTATGCTATATCATCTATGGATTGAATTCTGTTGACACCCTGATATTATGCAACTGGAAGTTTTCTGAACGTATTTGGTGATTTTACTGGAGTGAGTAAGGCATCAGCTTGTTGAATTGTGAATGTGGTGTCACAAGCTATCGCACGATATTGAACTGTGTCCGTACAGCTTGATAAGTTCCCAGATGTTACTGAATTATAAGGAGATTTTTATGTCTCCTTATATTTCAGTATAGATAGCTAGAATTCCAAGGGTTATTGGTGCCATGCATTGTACCCACGTCCCAATAAAATCTACAGGTGGTGACAATGCAGAAAGCTATCGGAACATAAAACGCCAATTCTCGTTCAATGTTCAAACAATAGTTGGTTCAGACTTGAAAATAATGGACATATTAGCTAGATAGCCTGAAGCCACACACGACCAAACCATATTTAAAAATTCGTTTATAAAACAAAGGTTTTTGAACAGAGAATTTGGTAATAGTGTATTTGTTGGTGATAAAGGTTAAGAAAATACATTTTATCTGTTGACTCCACTTCAAAATCCTGTCACACCAGCAGAACATCTCTATAACGAATAAGAAGTAGGAATCTTTTTGAGCGGACTTGCGTTGTTTGTAAAAATAGGGTTCCTATATTAGCAAAAAAGATAATATACATTCGTCTCGTGTCCAGTCTGTAATTGTAGCAAGTGTGGTGTTGCACAATATTGCAATTAATATAAAAAATGATTTTATATCATTATAATTATTTAAGAGTATGTATTTCAGGTATATAAATACGTAACGCAAAATAATGCAAAAAAGAAATGCATTATGAATGCTTACAAGAGTGATTAAATTATAAAAATGTTGTATGTTCTCACATTTCCTCTAAATCGAAACGCCAAAATGCGACGTTGCCATCTCAATCTTACAAGTAACAAACTGACACATAAACTTAATGGTAAGATGTTTGTGAAACGCATACTATTTTAATAGGAAGTTTTATGTGGCCGTTAATTTATTTGTCAGTTACGTATCCAACACTTTATTCAGACATTGTGAAACAGACCCTAAAACTAAAAACACCCGTTAAACTCATGGATAGTCCGGTTCCATGGGTAAATAAAGTCAAATACTTAGGTGTCGTCCTTGATTCTAAACTCAAATTCAGACAGCACGTGACTCGGGTCAGGAACCGGGCGGCCTTCGTTATAGGTCGCCTGTATCCCCTTTTAAATAAAACTTCAAAAATGTCCCTTCGGAATAAGGTGACTTTATATAAGGCAGTAGTTCGCCCCATCATGACATATGCGAGTCCAGTCTTTCCGCACATTGCCCCGAGGCAAATACATCCGCTTCAGGTCATCCAGAATCGATTTTTGCGCAGAGCTACGGGAGCCCCGTGGTTCATGCGGAACATCGACTAACATGTAGATTTAGAGCTGCCAACCATCGCTCAATTCCTGAAGTCGGCGTCGCGCCGCTACTTTGAATCCGCCGCCGCGTATCTCAATCCGTTAGTTGTAGGTGCCGTCACCTACAAACCCCTACCGCTAGGTTCGTTCCGTCGCCAATGGCGCAGACCACGACACGTACTCGATTTCTCTGACGATTAGACGCCATCGACAAAATAAAACAATTACGCAAACACACCAGATCACACCGCACCCGCCAGCGAGTGCGGCAAACTTACACTAAGTTCCGCCACGTACCTGGCAGGTTTTCCCTCGTTAATGATAGAAGCGTTGCTGGAGTTTCTTCCGCCACTTCTTCTCCGAGCGCCAACGTTTTACGAAGTGGTAGTAATGATAGATCTAGAAATTCTCCCAGTCAGATAACAGCTACCGATCGAGCCGAGGTCCGGCCTTCTCGGGCACCCTCGAATCGGAATGCTAAACGGGTATTGAGTGACAGCCACAACGGTGATGGAGCGTCCACCAAAGCGCCCTAAGAGCTTGGTGGCCTCCCAAACCGGTAATGATAATAATAGTGTGACGGCCCGAGCCGAGGCTCCCTCGGGAGCCCTCGAGCTTAGTCACTATAACGCGTAATAATACGCCGAGGTTCAGGCCAGGCGCCC